TCAGGGTGCAGGATCAGGGATGGGCCATCAGGCATGTGGAGGTTCCTCTGGGGAAGAAACACCAAAGGCGTGGCAGACGTGGCCTGGCAAGACACATCTGCTTTGCAGCTTGCCCTGCAAAGACAGGACCACGGTCTCTCTCACACCTCAGACTCAAGGTGGCCCGAGGGAACCAGACGTTGTCAGGGCAGGGGTTCTAAGGAGAGGCCAGGGAACTGTCGCAGGGAGAGGGGTTGCCCACACTGAACTCACGCCCTGCCACTCCGCAAACAACCTGCAGCCCAGACGTACCCACAGTCCTCGGGAAAGGGCTCTCCTGGCGCAGCAGACGCCAGACCCTCCCCATGCAGAAGAAAGACTCAGCGACAGCAGGCTTGCCAGTAACACCAACCACCTGGAGGGCACTCCCTTTCCTGGAAGGTTCTGGACTCTGGCCCTGGGCCTGCAGACCCACCCCCAGGCTTATCAGCATGAGCCAGAGTCCACTGGAATGTGTGCCAACCAGGCACTGGTCCAGGTTCTGCCTCCCACCTCCAGACATGGAACGACCCTCGGTCTCCTTGGGCGTGCTCCCGTGGTTGGTGGCCGAGGGACTGTGTCCCTTTAAAAGCTGTATCTGTCCCTTACCCAGAGGAGGCTGGAGGCTCCAGAGGAACCGTGTTGCTCAGCCAGCTCCGCACTACCTAGTTCCAAAACCCCTGACCTCCATGGGCCGGCCAGAGTGGCAGATGGAGCTGTTCAAGATCCTGGGGCCCCAGGGGACAGGGCCTCCCTCAGCCTGGCTCTGCCCACGGTGGGGGTTGCCAGGGAAAGGTACCCAAGTGGGCAGGGCTCCAGGCAAGCAGCCAGGCAGCTATTGAGATTCACCTGGACTCAGATCCCAGAATCACCGGCCACTCTACCCACCAATGGGGCAACCACCGCCCCAAGTCGAGCAGCTTTGCTCTCTGTAGCACGAGGACCCTGGTGGGGAGGGGCACGCGCACTCCCCTCCAGTCCTTCAGGCCAGAACAAGGGCCCAGGCTCCACCCTGCTGTGGCCTCCTCCCCTGGCTCACTGTTGCCCTCAGGCAAACAGTGAGGCCAGCCACCCCTACCTGCTGACCCCAAGAAGCAACGTCACCACTCTGCTGACCTCGGAGAGCCAAGTCTAGGGCTTAAAGCCGTGGGCTCTGAGAGGGTAACCAGCACTTCCTGAGCAAACCTGAAAGGAACTGTGCTGTCCCAATCCCTTGCCCTCCTGACCAGGACCTGCTGCCTAAGCACACTACAGGGTGGTGGTCACTCTTGGCATTTCTGGACCCTTCCACGTCTGTCAGGTACTGCATTCCCCACGGGTTCCAGCTGCCAGGGCCGGAACAGCAGTCGGGGCTCCTCGCTATGCAGCTTACCCCCTGCCCCCGGCTTCCTGGGCACATCGGGGCACCACGGTGGGAGGGGAGCAGATGGGCCTCTCAAACCAGACGAACACTCATGCATGGGGGGCCGGCGCTGCCCACACAGAGGGAACAGGGTCACTGCACGTCCTTTTGTGTCCGTGGGGTCATACGCCACCTCAGGTGTGCAGCACAAAAAAGGAAATTACATTTTCCAAAACAGCGTTTTCAGGGCAACAGGGACATTCTCAGGATTTCAGTTTCCTAGTTCACGAGTTCGATACTGTTTAACATCAGATAATATTTTCTACAGAGAAAGAAACGGCACCAGATGTGCATTCTCACTTTAGGTACTTCTGTGTTTCTGTTTGCCAGGTGGCAGCCTGGTGACCTCTGGCCTCACTGGCAGCCCAGGTTTCAGGGGGTCATGGGGGCATCTGAGCCTTCAGCTCACCCCAAGGGAGGAAGACGGGCAGTCGGGGAGCCGTGGAGCCGTGCGGTCCGGGCCCCATGAGCTCGGGCCTCTCTGCAGCCACCTTTCCAGAATGGCAGGGCTCTAGAACATGCCCCCTCTCCTATTAAATAGAGGAAGGGAATATCAGGTTAGGGCAGAAGGTCCTGGGGTTCAAGGTGAATTTAATTCCAAAGGGCAACTTTTACGAGAAGCGTAGATGTTGAGGGGACGGAGGGCAAGAAGGAACTCGCACTGCTTCAGGTCTGGGTGGTGACGGCATGGGAGGGGCAGGAAGGGGCAGCCAAGGCCTCCTGTGCACACAGGCACCCGTGACACCACCAGGCAGTAGCGATTGACCTGCTCTCCTCCTGATTCTCTTGCAGCACTGTCCAGGCACATGCCCCAGCCTGGCCACCAGGGAGGTGGGGACAAAGCACCCCCCAATCGTGGGGAGAAGCAAGAGCGAGCTGGCGTGGAGCAGCTGCTGAGACTGATGGGGCGCACCAGCACGGAGGCGCTGAGGCCGCTACACGCATGCGTTCCACTCGGTCTCCTGCGAATCCACACCTGGTGCCCAGACAAGTCCTTGCAGGGGGACTGAGTTGCTGACTTCCCCACCGGCCCCTCCTGGGGTGTCTGTGTTGGGCCAGGACCCCCCTCTGGACTCCCATAGCCCCCATTCCCCTGTACCTGGCCGTCCCTGTCGTGGTGGCACTAACACGGCTGTCTACAGAACCCCTTCTCAGACCCTTCCCTGGGCTGCTGCCAGGACCCACAGAATGACAGGGTATGGCTGGGCAGGTCTCCAAGCTTAAGAGGTGGAGGCAGCCCAGCCTCACCCCACAGCCTCCCTCCAGCTCATTCAAAGAGGATGGAAGCCAGCAAGTCCACTCCTCATCTCCCGCAAGGCTGCAGGGTGCCATTCTGGACTGCCCCGGGATGATGGGGCTGCCTGCCAGCAAGGAGCTGACAGAGGACGTTCACTGACCACCTCCTCAGGGTGGCTGGGCCAATGCTGAGCAGCACAGGAGCCAGGGACAGGGCCCAAGGGACAGGGTCAGAGCTTGGCACAGGTCTCTTGGTCGTTCTCAGCAGAGCAGGAAGGGAGGAAGGTGGGGGGTCCTGGGTCCACGCCGAGGAGCTCGGCACAGATTAGGGAACAGACACGCTCACAATCCTACTCTGGGATACTTCTGGGGTACTGGTGCTGAGTAATGGGGTGCAGGGTGCAACCAGAGGGACACAGCAGCGAGGCGGTGCCAGGAGCAGTCCAGATGCGGGGGGAGAGCAGGAGCAGGACCGACCCCAGAGCTCGTTCCACACACCCAGGGCGTGAGAGTGTCCTTGCTTGGGGTCTGGGCCCAGGCTTTTAGTCTGATGAAGAAACCCCCAAAGCCACCCAGCGCGTGTCCCCACGCCGACCTGGGCCTCACACTGCAACCTCATAGTCCGGCACAGAGCGGCAGGATGCTTGTGAATGCGTGTGACCAATCACCAGTGCTTCCTGGTTCCTGTAGCCATGTTCTTCAAAGAGCCTAGACCGTTCCCATTTAACCATGTCCCCTGCGTTTCCAGCACCGTCTGTGCCTGAGTTGGCAAGTGCAGGTGGTACGCCGAGGGGGGCCCGGGGCTGCTCTGCGCCCAGACTGCAAGACTGTGGGTAGCTGGCTACCCCCTTGGGCTCTTCACCCACCGCGGGCCAGTGAAAGATAGTTGCAGTCTTCCAGGGATTTTTAGGCAGAATGCTTCCTTCCAATTGTCACGCATATATAAGACCCATTCAGGAGGTGGTGTGATGAGAAGGCGGTAAAAAGGCAGCCTCGTGCATCAGGTCAGAGACCTGCATGTGCAGCCCCCTGTGCCCCTTGGCTTCGGTCTGCTTGTCTGAAAGCAGGGTTTCCCCCGGGGCTAGCCATGACAGGGGCCTGGAGAGCTGGACACAGGCCGTGAGTGCAAGGAGCTTCGGCCAACGTTACCACTCTCAAGCCAGCCGTCACCTCTGTGGTGCAGGGCAGAGCACTCAGGACCCGGCCACTGCCTGCTCTCAGAGCCCATGGCCTAGCCGTGTGGTCACTGAGCCCTGGGCCCAGCAGGGCTTGCCCCTGGCTCTCAGGAGGTCATGAGGTCACCAGGCAGGCGGCTGGGAGAAGCTCCAGAGATTTGCGATGCAGAAGGGAAGGGGAGAGAAGTGCCCCTTCTGGGAGCTAAATGACCTGAGAGGAAGTAAGAAGCGCCCAACCCAAGGCCAGGCGGAGCCGGCTTCCTGCAAGCTGAGTCCGCAGCTCCCCTGCCTGTCTGGAGCCCTCCTTCTTTGAGTTCTCTCTCTCTCTTTTCACATTGGAGTCACTCGGGAGTCGAGGGATGGAATTACCCCCACTCCTCCCCTAGCCCCATCTCCGGGGACAGAGGGGATTCTGGACATGACCTGTGACTCACGCCGCCCTGCATGCCTGGCCCCAGTGCAGGCCCCACTGGGCGCCCAGCTCGCTCCTCCGCAGGACCCCAAACTCCCAGGCCTGGTCTCGCAGGGGTCCTGCTGCCTGCAGTCTGCTCACAAACTCCCGCGCTGTAAGGGGGCCGCCCCGAGAGCCACCCAGTCAGGGACACTTGAGCCCACAACGGTCCCCTGGTCAGGACGAGAGGGGGAGGCCAGCAGGAAGAGCCAGGGGCTGCCCAGCAGCCAGGTCACCATTCTCGGGGCCCCCCTGTAACTCCGCCGCCGCCGCAGAGCCAAACCAGAGGAACAGGGAAGAGGAAGTGTGGGGCGGCCGGTGGGCGCCTCCCCCGGCAAGTGCCCGCGGTCCCTCTGTGGGGAGGGATGCGGGGGGCAGCGGGGGGAGGCGGGGGGCACGTCCCGGAACGCAGGCGGGATCAGAACGTGCCTGCACCGTAAGGGCACTCAAGGGCAGGCAGGGGATGGGGCAGCCTCCGGTGTCCGTTGCACCCCGGGGCCGGTCTCCCAGTGACCCAGATGACCCGGGTCCGCGCCCGCTCCCCTCTCAGCGGCGCCCCCAGCCCAGCCCGGGCTGCGACCAAAGCTTCGGGGGGCGCCGGTGTGGTAGGGGTGGGGGGCAGCCCCCGGCGGCGAGACGCGTTGCCCGCCGGGCCCGGGCTCCGGTGGGGGTCCAGGCCGCGCCCCCGGCCCAGCCCGGCCCTGCCGCCCGGACTCACCTCCGCAACCTGGCGGCGCCTCCTCAGTTCCCGCCGCCCAGGCGGCGCGGCCCCGGGCCTGCTCGCCTGCGCCGGCCGGTCCACAACTTCTGCCGCCGGCCTCCCGCGCTGAGTGGCGGAGCAGCAGCGCGCCCGGCCCGGCCCCGACCCGGCCCGCGTCCGGCGCCCGCGCTACGCCGCCTCCGTAGCGTAGCGCCCGGCCGGGGCCCCGCGGCTACGGCGCGCCTGAGGCGCACACGGCGCTGTGAATCGCGCGCGCGGACTACCGCTCCCACAGGGCCGCGCGACGCCGCCAGGCCGGAAGCTCGGGGCGGTGCCCGGCGCGCGATGCGGACCGGGAGTTGTAGTCCTCGGGTGTCGGGCAACTGCCGCAGCGATCGGCTCCCTCCAGGGGCCCGCCGACTTCCCGGGCCTCCCCGCCCACCAGCACCGCTGGGGATGGCCGAACCCCGGGGCCCGGGCAGCGCCGCGTGTCGGGTCTGGCTCCGAGTGGCGGAAGGGATGCTTCGAGGACAGAACTGCGACTACTACTCCCAGAATATCCTGCGCGGGAGGAAGGGGCGGGTCCGCCAGACCGCCCCAGTGTCTGCGCTTCCTGCCCCCCCCCGCAGGCAGAGGTGCCGGGCTCTGGCCGGTTCTTCCGGCTGTCTGGACGAGACCCCGACTCTGCCCTGGCTCCCCGTGTCCACGGGGCCCGCAGACCTCCGTAGCGCCCTGCCTGGGTCTCCTGAGCCCCCCTTGCCTCCCGCCCTCCAGCTGCCCCAGACCCTCTCTGCCCTTCTTCAAGGCTTCGCGGTCCACAGCTCCAGTTTTGGTGGGACCGACCTGGGTGGAGACGAGGCCTTGGCACTCACAACGGGACGGGGTCACATTACTTCTGTGGGCCTCGGTGTCCTCCTCGGTAAAAGAGGACGAAATGAGATACCATCCACGGAGCGCTCATCCCGGCGCCTGGCAGGAAGACCCTTAAACCTGGGAAGGCGGTGTTGCTCCGCCGGGGCCTCTGAACAGGAACCCCCGTCGCCAAATTCACAGAAGAGCCTCCTAGGTCCAGTGTCTCCCGTTAGGTTCCCTTTGGGCAGCTTGAGGTCACTCACAACCAGCAGTCACGAAACTGGAGGCGGGACTCTGCAGCAGGACATGCAGGAAGGCGGTTTATCAGATGCAAGTGAAGCACAGGGAGGCTGTAGAGCGGGAAGAGGGGAGGCATTCGGGGGCACTTGGGGAGCCTGGGGAGACACTGGTCATGCGGGAAACGCGGAAGCAAGGCATGTCAGCTAAGAGGGATTCAGGGAGAGTGGCTGTGGCCCAATTCTGCCTCCAGACTGGGTCATGTCTGTTCCAGTGCCCACAAAGTCAGCGACCTACGGGCACAGGGCTCAGTGCTCCCAGGAGACCAAGCCCCAGGAAAACCTGTCTCACTCTCCAGATGCTGCAGCAGGGATGGAGCTGCTTCCTGAGGGCTCTAAGCAGCAAGCTTGTGGGGACAGAGAGCTGTTGAGTGACTTGGCCTGCCCCGTGCTTCCTCACCTGCATGAATGTGACATGTGGCCTCTGACCTCGTGTGGCTGTGGAGTCACATGAGGGGAGAGAGTCAAGGGCCATCTCCTGGTGGGGGTGGGGCTCAGTAACCACAGCTCCAATGGACACTGGCTGGGGTGGCTGTTGGACTGGTGTCCACAGCCCTGTAACCTCCCAACAAGAGAAGCAGCTGAAACTGAGCTGAGATCCCGGTCTGTTCACTGCAGTTTTTCAGAGCCACGGCCTACATGGGGGTGAGCATTCTTGCCCTCCCCAGAAAGGGGCCAAGGCCTCTTGTGGGGGGAGAAAGCCGAGTCACCACAAGAAGGCCTCAGGAGGAGTCTTCAGGACTGGAGTTGCTCCGTGTCCGAGAGGAGGGAGCTGACCAAGGGTTGGGAAGGGCCAGACACAAAGCCCTGTGCGTTGGTTTGAACGTCCCTGTGTGCTCGTGCTGTTCTCCGCTTTGGGACCCAAAGGGCCCAATCATGGAGTAGAGATTCTAATGGGATTTGGGCTCAGGGACCCTCAGGGGTGGGACATGCATGCTTGAGCCAAGATGGGTCAAGTGCAGGACACCTTTGTGCTGAGAGCTATGCAACCTGCGCTCTGGCCAATTTTAAGGAATGACCCATCATTGCCTGCTGTGCGAAATGCCCCTCGCCCCCCATGCCTGGCTTAAACAGGACAGCAAATGCCCACATAAGGTAAAAAGTAAGGGCCCTTCCCAGGGCCTCCATCTGCAGGTCTCTGAACTGCCAGCAGGTGGAGGGGCAGGTGCTGGGGCAGCCAGGCTGGGAGCAAACATGGGCACCCTTCCTTCAGCATGGCTTGGTTGGAGCAGGGCCGAGGCAAGGGGCTGGGTGGTGCTCGAGGGACAGTTGAACCACAAGAGCCATGCACCCACCCGCCAGTAGCCATCTTCCTCGCTTTGTGCTCCTCCATCATGCAGGACTGACCAAGACTTGGAAGGTTCAAGCAGTCCTCTACCAACATGAGCTGACCTGAGACAGGATTAGCCCTGGGTGGCCCTTCCTGGCTGGCAGTGGGCACTGCTGTCTCCATATATTGTGGATTTCCAAGTGTTCTCTGGCCCCACCGTGTTCCAGTGGATAACTGTGTCTCCCCGTTGGGCTGGGGACCCTGGGAGGGCCAGGGCAGGGATCTCAGAATTGGCTGCTGGTGGGACCAGACCATGGATAGGCCCCCACATGTTCAAGAGCATAAATGAAACACTTGATGGAGCTAGGCCCCCTCCCCACTTTCAGCTTCTCCTAAGGCAGAGATGGGCCCCGCAGGCTCCAGACGGGCAGACGGGGTAGGTGGAAAACAGGTGTCACCAAGTGCGCCCAGGCTAGGGCCCAGGCTCTCCTGGACCCTCACTGACCTGAACTTGCCACAGCAGCACTTTGGCACCCCTAGGGCTGAGCAGGCCCTATGTGCAGAGCTCCAACAGGAGTCTCGGGTTGAAGCCTGCACCCCAAGCCACAGCACAACGCCATCCATCCCGGGGCCACGAGTTCTGCTGGTCCCACCTGTGGGCATCTGGGCACAAGTCCCACTGATGGGCTTGCTAACGAGAGCGCGTTGGTCTGCCTGTTTAGGGAAGTACCTGCTTGGAGCATCAGGAGCACAGGTGGGAGCCTGGACCTTTACATACTCTCCAAACCCCGGAAAACTAGCCGGGAGGTGGCCCTGGGCAGGAAGTTGGCCTTGGACATGTCCGCACCCCAACAGTCCCCCAGGTTCCCGCTTCACTGCAACCTACACAGAACCAGGTCTCCCAGGCCTGACCTTGGTGACCCTTTGGAGTTCTGGGGCCCCTGCTCACCACAAGCCAGGCCGTGTCCACTCACCACTGCCCTCAGGTTGTTGGCCCCATAGGCCAGCATACCTGGGCTCAAGCCCCTTCAGTGCCCTGCTGGGTGGCTGGCGGGTGGGGTCCTTGGCCTTCTGTGGGCCTCAGTTGGTCCATTTTTCTCTTGACATGCAGTTAGCTAGCTCAGTGTGAGGAAGGTGGTAAATGCATGGTTTGCTGCTCCCGTGGATGCCTGGGCTGGGGAATCAAGTTTGGGGGCTTTGGCTAACAACTCCCACTTCAAATTACATATGCCCACTTACCCACAGAACCTTCTCACGGTCCTCCCCGTGACAATAGTGGTAAGTGAGCTCTCCTCCCCAGCCTGGCCACCCAGCCCAACCTTCTTCCTCATCTTTGAGCCAAATCCTGCCAGAGCATGTGCTTTCAGTTTGGGTAATCTGCATGACCCCCACAGGCCTTTTCATCAGCCCTGATTACACGTCCCACTGGGACATCAACGAGTCCCAGACCTGGGATGCACCCCCTCAGCCCAGCCTGCACTTGGCTATGTCCTACCGTGAACACCCGTGACCCCAAGGCCCCATCACATGGCCCCACCCCAGGAGGGCCCCTCGGCTGAGCTCTGCTGAGGGTCCAGGCTGGAGGTGCAACCCTGAGACCTCCAGGAGGGGTCAGCTTGACCAGGTCTCCTGCAGAGCTCACATGGTACACGGCCCCCCAATATGTTGGGGGGCCAGGCCCATGGCACCCCACCCAGCCCCCAGACCCCACGGAGGAAGAGGCTGGCCTCTGTGTGTATAGACAGCTTTAATCTTCAGCGAGACTGTCCTGGACTTGCCCTTCAGCATCCAGGCCACCACTGCTCTGCCTGAAGAGTCTTTCTCAAGGGGAAGGAAACAGGGTCACTGTGCAAGTAGAAGGCCTGGGTGTCTGTGTGAAACATCTCCCGGCAATTCATATTTACAGTTACAGGACCGCTGAGTAATGGACAGAAACAGACCCACGTCTGTGTCACCAGGGCAGGGCTAGGCACAGAAAGCAGAGTTCCAGTATTTATTATCATACATATATATATTTTATGTGTATACACAGATAGTTTTCTCTCTTGGAAGTATTAAAAAATTGATCAACCTTCAATCTATAAAAAATACCTACTCTACATGATAGAAAAATCTCTCCTCCAAGTTTACACTGATTTACACCCAAGGCTTTCCCCAAAATGTACAATACGAGGCAACGTCTTAAATCTTAGTGTAGAAGGTGGGCCACATGGAGGATGGAGGGACGCAGGGCAACACGCACGCACGCACGCACGCACGCACGCACACACACACACACACAGCAGTGGCCAGTCTGTGTGCGGGGTCTTGACCCACCCGGGAGCACCCAGGGGCTCCTGGTCGGTGCTCAGGCTCAGGGTGGGGGCAGGCCCAGCAGCCCCCACGGTGGTGTGGTGCCTGGCAGTGGGGGCACAGAACCAGGCAAGGAGCCCCCACGCTGCTGGGAGGGCCTTGTTCTCTGCTCTTGATCTGTGTTCTGAGAGAACCTGCAAAACCCAGCTCGGGGAAGGATGGCCACTTCAACGACTTCAAACTCCCAGAGGAAACATGCTTCCAGACATGTGGACTCTGCCTAGGAAACCGGGACTCACCTGGGGCAGCTGAGATCTGCCCAGGGAGGGGGGCTCCAGGAGGCCGGGAGGCCACACGGACGGGGAGGCAGTTTCTCACCAGGATGCTGCCTGCACCTGGGGTCAGCCAGTGACATCCACCCTGTCCGGAAAGCATGCTCCACATGGGGAGCCTCTCAAGTCCTGATTTCAGAGGGGAGGCTCCTGCCCCAGCCGCCACAGGAAGATCTGAGGCTGGACTGAAGTGCCCCCTCTGGATGGGTGACGGCCCCAGGAAAGCTGGGACCCCCACAGCTCCTAGCCAGACCCTTACACACACCGCCTCGCCTGCCTGTACCTCCCACATCACCACGTCTGGCGAGAGGGTCCTGGGGCCTCTGTGCCATGCGGGTGAGAGCCCCTGAGCAGATGCACACGGCAGCACCCCGGTGGGGATGTATCCTTCCTTTCCTGATGGGTAGGGCTGCAGAGGGGTCTGCCACACGGGAGGGAGCTCCCAGAAGGGCTCACCTGAGCCTGAGACGTAGTCTCCGCATCTCTGCAGAGAGCAGGCCCGGCCCCACACTCCCCTGAGTGGGCCCCCGGTCCCAGGGCTCCCGTTCCTTCTCCCTCTGCAGACCCGTTGTTGCACCCCAGCCCAGCCGCTGGTCTGGGCTGTGCGCACGCTGTGGCCATCTCCTGGGTGCAGGTGGGGTCCTGGGCCCACCAGGCTGGGCCTTCCTGCCTCTATTTGACCTCCAGGATGGATGGGTTGGTCTCCATGATGGCCACGATGATCCGGTCAATGTAATCCTGCAGGCGGAAGTTTATCTCCTCCTGCTTCTGAATCGCGTCCATGAGCTGCGGGAAGAGCGGCGTCAGTGCCGGCTTGGTGCACAGACTGGGACACATCTGGGTGGCAGGGCCTGGATGGGCCTTACCTCATCTCGGGAGACGGAGCTGATCTCTGCAGCCAGGGACTCCGAGAAGGACGTGGAGAAGAGGTTCTTGGCGCCCTGGATGCTCAGGTTGATGATCTGCCCGTTGAGCTCATCATTCTGCTCCTTCAGGTTTCGGTTATCCTGGGTGGGGGACACAACAGCAGCGTCCTTCTTGGGGCCGTGACCCCACTGGTGGCTGAGCCTGCACAGAGACTGGCCAGAGTGGCTTCTGGCTCAGGCACCAGCCACCCGCCCCCTCGCATGTGCCCCGCCCCACGCTGGGCTCCTGGAAGTTTCTGCAGGGTACAGGGGTGTGTCTGCCCGCACCTGCTTCAGCCTGCGGACCTCCTGCTCCAACTCGCTCTCGCGGGTGCGGCTGTTGTACTCCTGCAGGCCCATGCTGCTGCCCCGGCCCTTCCGCTGCTCGGCCTCCAGCTTGAAAAGCTGTAGGTGCTCCAGCTGCTTGCGCAGGTCCTCGATCAGCTGCGGGCAACCTCGGGGTGAACAGGGCTCCAGGCACCCGGGCGGCAAGGACTAGCTCAGCCCTCAGCTTCGGAACCTCTGGGTCAGTCTGAGCGCCATCTCCAAGTAGGATGACAAACCCCTCACGCCCAGCAGCCCTGCCCAGCAGAGCACCACACGGTTCCCGGCCTCGGGTCTCAGGACACAGAGGGTGACATGCTCACCTCCTGGGTTGCCTCCTTGTCCCTCTGGAACTGGTGCCTCTCGTGGCTCAGCCTGTCGCCCAGCTTCCTCCTGTTTTCCTGCTCATCACTGAGCCGCAGGGACAACTCTTCAATCTCATCCAGCAACTTCTGCTTCTCCTGTGGAAGCAGGAGACTTGCTGCGGACATGCCTGCCTGCCACCCCGTTCACACAGCTTTCCTGGCTCAGTCCATAAAGGCTGCGTCTAAGCCACCCCATCATGGCAGAGGTGCACACACCTCTGGGGCCATGCTGACCCTGACCACCACGAAGGCAGGCGGGCCTGCGGTGCTCCGGAACAGGCTGGCTGCACAGGACACAGGGATGGCTTCTCAGGGGAGGCAGGGGAGGGACGACCTATGCAAGAGCAGGATCTGACCCACAGCTGCTCCCCGGGAACTGCTCACGGGAGCCAGAGCCCATGTGGTCTTGGATGTCCTCAGGGTTCAGAGCTTCCCAGGGACACTTGGCGGGGAGGGGAGGATGGGGATGGGGAGGCCTCTCCAGTGAATACCTGCAGGACAGGGCAGGAGGGGTCCAGCTGAAGTTGGCCCTGAATTCAGCCACAGGTTTATCTCAGCTGAACCTCTGGACCCAAGGATCCCGTGTCTGTGGGAAAGCTGGGAAGCCAGGCAGGGACCAACATCTTCCAACAAAGTGACAGCCAGGCCTAAGCTGTCCTGGTCCCCACGCCATGGGACCTGTGGGGACTGTCCCATCAGTTTGCTCTCTAGAGCAGCATGGCTTCCTGACCTGTGGTCACACCCTTGGCTGGCTGTGTGGCTGTCCCGCTTTAGAGAACCCCTCAGTTGCAGACGGTGGAGGAACGTGCTCAAGCTAGCCTGGCTGATCTCGTGCCCACATATTACAGGGCTGGGCCTCATGTGCTCAGTGCTCCCAGCTGACCACTCACCTCCTCCAGGCGCTCAATGTTGGCCTTCAGACAGGGCGTGCACGACCTCAGCTCCCCATTCTCCTCGTCCAGCTGCTGCAGCCTGAGACACAAGAACAAGGCTGGGACCTCATACCCAGGAAATGTGCCTCCTTGAGGCAAGGGAGGCCCACTGTCTTGGCAGCCCCGCCAGGAGTCACCCGGGACCCACAGAGGCTCCCCAAGACGCCCCAGTCCTTACGCACCACTCGAGTACTCTAGGCCCCAACTTTTCCTTAAGCCAGGAGGGTTATTAAATACACTTTGGGTCTGGGGATACTTGTGGGTTTACAAAACAGTTGTAGACATAGTGCGGAGTCCCTGTGGACCCCAGCCCCGTACAGCTTCCCGCATGGCATCTGCTCATCACTGTGGTGCCTTTGCCACAGCCCACACAGCCACACTGGGATATACCAGTCACCAAACCACAGACTTCATTTGATTTCCCACCAGTGCCCCTTCCCACCCCAGGACCCCTCCCAGCGCCACACTGCACTTCGCTGCCTTGTCTCCTTTGTCCCCTCTGGTCTTTGGCAGTCTGGAGGCCTTTCCCGGCTTTTCATGACCTTGGTCGTTTTGAGCAGTTCTGGTCCCATATTTGGTCCGATGCCCCTCACATTGGGTTTGTCTGGTGTTTCTCGGGATGAGATGGGTCACAGAGGTGAGGTGCCCTTGTTACCAGATCGGGTGCCCGAGTCCACATGACTCGCCGCGGGCGATGCCGACCTGGGTCACCTGGTGAAGGTGTGTTTCCAGGTGTCTCCTCCTGTGCGTGCCCTGTCCTCTGGAAGCCCGTCACCGGGCCGGCCCGCGCCCCAGGGGAGGGAGGACTCAGCGCCACCCCCGGAGGGGCATCTCCACATATCTTTGGGAATTCCTCTGTGAGGAAGGTTCGTGTCTTGGCTCCACGTCTTCGCCAGTCCTCACACTGAGTTGGGCTCTGGGTTATGTCCAATAGTATCATTGTTACCGTGCTACTCAAAGTGGTCCAGCTTTGACCATCAGGAGCCCTGTCAGCTGCCCCATCACTGTGTAGATACGTGCTTTTGTCTGAGCACTTCCCTACTGTCTGACCCGATGAGATGCTGCAGGGCTCTGCTGGCTTCTCCCCCATCCCAGCCACAGACTCAGCCCCTTCTCCAAGGAGCACCTTCTCCTTTCCACAGTCCTGTCCGTCCTGCCGCCTTCTGCAGTCCCCTATACTGAGTAAGGGTCTTCCTGTGCACTGCAGTCGGCTGGGGCCACACCACGGAGGCCCCTGGCCTGGGCTGACCTCAGGGCGCTGACCTGCCCCCCTCCGCCCCCAGGTAACTGCAGAAGGCTGACAGGATCCAGCCACACGGAGCAGGCAGCAGGTGGGCTCAGAAGCACTGACGTGGAGTCCTGCCCTGTCCCCGAGGGCTTCATGACACCTGGTGTATGTCACCCCCTCCAGGCTGCTGTCCTGCTCAGAGCCGCAGGGGAGAGGCTCCAGCACACAGAGATGAGGAACACACTGAACCACACTGTGCTGAGGCCCAGGAAAGAAGGTCCCCCGGCTGCCCAGGCCGGGCTGTCCCCAGAGTAGCATCCACGGCATCTGCCTGCAGGTGGCCTCTTCCCTTCCCCGCTGGGAGACGTGCAGGCTTGCTCTAGCCCAACAGCACCCTATGCTGCCCCTCCAGCCGTGAGCCTGCATGGGGGCTGATGTCAGTCTCCAGCTTCTACTGCGTGTTTCCTGCAGGGTGCGCACACCCATGTGCTGTTTTTCCCCACTTCTCCTAACGCTTCAAAGCCTCCTAACTCCAGATAAGCAGAAAGGGACTCCTGTCAAGTCTCAAAAAGGACCGGTGTTCTGATGGGGAGAACGTGGACAGCAGAGAGACTCAAAATGACATCGTGGAGGGTCTGTGTTCGAATTCTGATCTTGAGCAGTGTTACAGCTCTCCTCAGTGGGTTTCCCCCTTTCTCTAAAAGCAGCTCCAGGGGCACCTGGGTGGCTCAGTCATTAAGCGTCTGCCTTCGGCTCAGGTCATGATCCCAGGGTCCTGGGATCGAGCCCCACATCGGGCACCTGGCTCAGTGGGGAGCCTGCTTCTCCCTCTCCCTCTGCCCCTCCCCCTGCTCATGCTCTCTCTCTGTGTGTGTCTCAAATGAATAAATAAAATCCTTAAAAATAAATAAATAAATAAATAAAGCAAGCAAGCAAGCAGCTCCATTCCCAGACAGTGGACCGCCTGGGTGAGGCAGCTGCTGAGGCGGAGCGCCCCACCTGGCCTGCAGGCTCTCCACCTCGATGCTCCGCTCCCGCTCCATCTTGCACACTAGCTCTCGGTGCCTCCGGGCCTCCTCCAGCGCCATCTCGCAGGCTCTCAGCTCCTGCTCCTTCAGCTGCTCCTCGAGGGCATTGGCTCTGTGGAGGTGAAGGGGAGGAGGTAAGAGGCCTTCTGCTCTGGGCCCCAGCGCCTACCTGGAGGAGGGGCAGCAGAGGCGGTGAGACTCCCATCCACAGCTCTGCTCAAGACGGTTCTGAAGCAGAGGCTGTGCCCCTAAGACCGCCCCTGCTTCCCACACTGGCACCCAGGGCCTCAGAACCATGGTCTCCATTGCTGTCAGGCCGCTCATCCCCATCCCAGTGTGTGGGCAGGAGCCCTCCCAGGGGCACAAGCCCACCAGGCGCCCGCCCCCAGGAGGACCCTGCAACAACACCTCAGGCTGCACACGCAGGTCGCCCGTGGCAGAGGCAAGGGCAAGTGTTAGCTAGGAGGAATGTTCACATGGGGGCCCTGACCCTGGCACCTTCCAGACCACCACACCCACCTGCAGGAGACAGGAACTGACCATCCCAAAGAGAAGGGCTCCAGGCCCTGCCCACAGAGCCCACGCCCCCGAGCTGTCCATGCACACAGGGCTTCTCAACCTCTTTTTGGTGCCTCACACCTAAGAGTGAACAGAGTACCAAAGATCACCAGACTCCGTAGGAAAGGTGTCGACACAAAGCAGCCAAAGCCATCAGAGAAAAAGGACCCCACACAGGAGAAAACCCTGTAATTCACACCTCAGAGCGAAGATACCACTTTCAGGGAAATAGGAGCGGAACATCTGAAGGAGATTTAGAAAGTGATTCTTAGAAACTGAAAACATGAGAAGAAAAAATTTTAAATTCAGTAAGAGTTGAAGGAGAAAACCAAGAATATTACATTTTTAAAAAGAGGAAAATGGGATGCCTGGGCAGCTCAGTCAGTTAAGCGTCCAACTCTTGAGCTAAAAGCCCAGGTCGTGAGATCTAGCCCTGTGTCAGGCTCCGTGCTGGGTGGGGACTCCACTTAAAAAGAGGGAAATGACGGAATTAGAAAACAGGAAAGTAAAGAAAATGAGAAGAAACTTCCAGAAGGTCTAACATATTTGATGAACAGAAGTTCAGACAGATAAAGAAAAAGAACAAACTGTGCAGAGAAATAATTCTAAAAACCTTCCCAAAGCTGAGGGTTATCTTTGAGATTTAAAGGTTGGAACCCATGTGCCAGCACAGGAAACAAGGCCCTCCCAGCGTCCAGGGTGAGAGCCCAGAACCCACAGAGGGCACCAGCGCCTGCCTGCCAGTTTCCCAGGAACCCTGCCTCCAGCTATGGTTCCAGACCGAGCCACACTATCAGTGGACAGACACACTCCAGACACACGTGGCCTCGCAGAACCTACTCCTCTGCACTCTCCCCCAGGCAACCATCCGGGGATGCTCTCCGCAGACAATTAATGAGCAAGAAAAGAAGAAAACATGGGATCCAGAAAGCAAGAAGCCAAGCACGAGGGGTGCCTGGGGGGCCCAGTAGGTTAAGCATCTGACTCTTGGTTTTGGCTCAGGTCATGATCTCAGGGTCCTGGGATTGAGCCCTGCATTGGCTCCGCACTTGGTGAGGGGTCTGCTTGGAGATTCTCTCTCTGCCCCACGCCCCTGCTCATGCACACTCGTGCTCTCTCCCTCTCGCTCTAAAATAAATAAATAAATCTTAAAAAAAAAAAAAAAA